CCCCCGCACGGTGCCCCCGGTGCTCCGCAGCGGCGGGAGCGGATCCGGCACCGGCGGAGCCTCGCAGCCGCCCCCGGTGCCCTCACGGAGGGGCCGACACCGGGACACCCCCCCTCCCCTCTGCCGAGGACCCGCTTTAACAGAGGGATGGCGCATCCCCACCTGCTCTGGGCCCCTCTCTCCCCCCAGACTGGGTCCCACCTTCTCATACGGGCACAGCCCAGAGCACGGACCGAGCTTCTCCGGGGGCTTCTCCGAATACAGCTTTTAATGGTGCAACTGCTCCAAGCTGGAATTGTAAACCCGACGGTTCGCACAGCCCTCCGCAAACTGTCCGGGAAGAACGAAACCAAAGAGAAGGCGGTGGCCGGGGTCTCCGACGGCCAAAGCCCCTGCCCACCCCCACAGTGAGTGCGCCCCAGAGCCAGGGGCAGCACTCAGTTTTGCTCCTTTCTTCCAGGGCTAAACAGAAGATCCCAAGTCATTAGAAGAGCTAAAAACCGGGTTGGAACACTGTAGATTGAGGCCATCTCTGCATGAAACCCAGCAAAGGCAGCATCTGTGCTAGTTCTGTGCCGAAAGCAAGGTCTTCGCTCTAACCAAAACAGTCCCTTGGGCATTCATCCCTCCCAGCAGCATCGGCAGCCCCTTGCGCTCCAGCTTCTGCCAACGTGACAGTCAAATGCTACAGGTTTGCAGGAAAAGCCTTGCTACGAAGGCAGAAGAACGATCCCCTGAATCTGGCTGCAGGTCAGGAATTTCCCTTGTTGCAAGCCAAGGGGATCTGTGCAGGGAAGCACGCGTAGAACCCAGGACACTGCAAGAGGGCAACATCACAACAGCTCTCCCTGAACCACCACTAACTTGTCCGGATACTCCGAACACCTCAGGACCCATCGCCTTTGGTAGTGGGTCAGGATGGCCATAGGGAGACACTTGCCCATGCCCTGATCTCCAGAGTCCTTCCTGATAGCAGGACACACGGCACACCAGCGCTGCGAGCAGTTCCTTCATCTGGGTTTCCCCGCAAAGCTCTGAAGACAACTGGAGGGGACCCCCAGCCAAAGCACTCCTTCCCTCCATGGGGCTGGAACGGCAGCGCCCGGGAGGGAGAGGAACAGCAGCCCTGGCCGCAGCCTCCTGCGCCCCAGAGCAAGGCTGGGTTTAGCTACAGCAGAGCTGTGCTGCCAAGCTCCCAGCGTGGCTCCAGTGATGCTCGCCCAGCTTCAGCGCTGCCGGGAGCTGCCCACCACCACCACCACCGCTGCTGCTGGAGGCAGCGAGGGGCAGAGTCCTCCGCCGGGCAGGAGCCAGCTAGGAATCGGAGAGGCAGAGGGCCTCCACGGCGTTGCTCAGGCCCTGGCTCACCCCGCCGACGGCCAGCAGGCAGTTCCGGACCACGATGCTGGAGCAGGCACAGCGTGGGGTGGGCATGGGGGGCAGGCTCTCCCACTTGTTCTTCTCAGGATGGAAGGCCTCCGCAGACTCCAGGACAGTTGGCTGGTTTCCTGGAAGCACAAAACAAGGCACTGGGTCACCTGGGAAGCAATGGCAAGCGTCCCTTGTCTGCTCTGGGACAGTGTCTGTACTCTGGACCCCATCCCCTTATGGGGTCCCTTTTCCCTGCTCCCTCAGGCCAGCCAGGGCCAGAATCTCTCCCCTCCGTAAGGGCAACACGACTCACATATACCTTTAAAGCATTACCACCATCCCCAGTGCCTCACCTAGTCCCCCAGCCACAACGACTCTGCCTTTCAGGTAGCCAGCCACGAAGTCTGCTCGCCTTTTCTTCAGGTAGAAGGAGCGCTCCATCTTCATCCAGCCACCTGGGAGGGACAGGACAGACCGGGCATCGCAGGAGCGTCCACTCCTGGGAAACCATCTGCCTCTCTGACCTCCTACGTGCTTGTGGAAGCGCAGTTTTGCTGCTGCACCTTGGGGGGATAAACCCCCATGACACAGGGGTCAGCTTCCTCACCACCGTGTCAGGAGGGAGCTGTTGAACCCAGCGGTCTCGGGACCATGGGTTTCCCCCCCTGCTGCCTTGACTTGTTCATTTTCACTGCGGGCCTTCCTCTAGGCTGGGCTCGAGGCACCAGCAGTCCCAGGACTCAGCAGATGAGAGCTCTGCACTCTGCAAGGACCGCAAAGCCCCAAAGCACAGCCTTGCGTGCCACCCGCCCCGCTCCTCTGGAAAGGACAGAGCTGGGACAGCCCCCACCTTGTTCCATGTCAAACATGTCCACGGTCCTCATGAACTTGGGCTGCCTGTAGAGCCGTCCCTGCCGCAGGCCCCCGAGACTGAAGAGTTTGTCTTCTGTGGGCACGAAGCTGGAGAAGGCCCTTTTGTTGGGGATGTTGGGAAACTTGGTCCACGACCTGGTCTCTGTGTCAAAGACCTCGAAGGCATTGATAGCGTACTTGGACTGCCTTCCACCTGGGGCAGGGGAGACGGAAAGAAAAGGGTCAGTGTGGCTCACAGCACCAAGCCAACGGCAGCAGGAACCAGAGGAACCTCCTGGGGCAGGCTGAGAGTGAGCTGCCAGCTCATACGATGTCCCCAGGTCTCAAGTCACCTGGATGAGGGCTGCTAAGCCAGGTAACTTCTCACCCTTGAGCTCCCTCTCCTTTCACTGCAGGTTCCTGGCATGAAAACACTTCGTTTTCCAGCGCATCGCACCCTCCGCTTCCCTCCACACCGGCAGCAGCCGGTCGCTGGCAGAGGAAGGTGTTTAGTATGCACCGGTTTAATCAAGACAAATTCACAGCAGAGGAGGGATCAGCGCTCAGGGAGCCTTTGCAATTCAGATGAGTTCGGCGCCAGTGCAAGCCAGCAAGCCCCGACCTCGCTGCCGAGCCCCTGACGGAGCGGGAGAGCCACAGCAGCTGCTGCTACCACCGCCAAAGATGCGTATTATTCTTCCACCCATCAGAGGCAGATGAATACAGCTATTCTCAGCTCAGACGCTCAGCGTGCCTTTGAAGGCAAGAGCCCGTGCTCGCTACCGGCCCCACAAACTGTTCGCCAGCAGCAAGCAAACTGCAAAATAGATCAAAGACTCTTTTTTGGTAACCCCTAAAGAGAGCCAGGGCTGTCTGGTGGTTTGAGCAAACTCCTGCATTTTGATCCCGATATGCCATTTGGCCCCAAGCTCACAGCAACCTTTCTCTGCCCGAGTTTCCCTTTCTATAAACACAAAACTAATGAAAAACGTCCCCTGTAAAAGGTTTGGTTCGGCGTTTCCCAGCGTTTTCCTCTGCCAAACGCAGACCCTTTGTGAAGCTGCGGTGCTTTGCCGATAATACAATGCACAGACGTATTTTTACTCACTAGTTGAATCCAAGGGCTTTTATCGCAGCTGCAGGACTGCAAATTGAGCAGAGACCAACTGCACCCTCGGAGCAGAGACCAACTGCCCCCTTGGCTGCCGGCAGCCGTGGAGGTTTCTCAGTGCTCAGAGCAAAGGAGCTGCTGCCCAGCGGTGCCGAGGAGGAGGAAGAGGAGGAGGAGGAGGAGGAGGAGGAGGAGGAGACAGGACTGCTTCTTACCCAGCACGTAGATCTTGGTGCCTCGCAGGAAGGATGTGGCAGCGTACCTGGGTGTGGGCATGGCCGCCAGCGACACCCAGATGTCCTTGAGCATGTCGTAGTGTTGCAGGTAGTTGTGCGGCCGCAGGTCAGCCCCCATCCCCCCAGCCGCATAGACTCTGTAGTCTGGACAGGGCCAAGGAGCGAGAAAATCCCACAAAATGATTATAGGAAAGCATCAGAAATAACACCCCCCCCTGCAAAAACACACGTGCCATCAGACGATGTGGAGCAGAACTGTTCCCTCCTACCCGAGTGCCCGTGTACGTCCCGAGCTCCCACCCCCGGGGAGAGGGAAGGCACCAACCGCCCCATCCCCGCACCAACGCTGATGCTCTTCCCCCACCGCTGCTCCCCCGTCCGGGGGCTGCTGCTCCTCGGCTCAGCTCCTGCTTTGCCCCACCGAGGTCGGGCACAGGATGGCAGCTCTGCGACCCAGCCCGGAGGGCTCAGGGCCAAGACAAGGCACTGAGGCTGCTTATTCCTCACCAAATCCCTATCAGCTACATCCATCTCCGGCTAACGGCAAACCTGGCTCTCTCCAAAACTAAATCCTACCTGCACGCCACCCACATTATCTCCTTCAACAAGCACATCGCTCCACAGACAAGATTCAGGAGAGCGGCGACAGCAGCCCTGCCCTTGTGGGCAGCCTCACAAGGCAGCTGAAGAAGCAGAGACCAGCCTGCGCGCTGCAAGGATTTGGGCAGCTATTTCTGTTCCTGGCCTCTCACACCAAATTGACCCTGGCGTATCGGTCAGGCAAGCTTATACTCAGAGAGAAAATCATCTCCAAGATGGTAAACATTATTTTTAAACATTCCTCGACGGTAGCTTTTAAACCCACTTAAGCAAACAAACCAAGCAGCTTTCAAAGAAGCTGCCTGGAGATTAGATTCGTAATCCCAGGCACGGCGGGAAGCTGGCTGACCTCAGGCACGCTGCTCGGGAACACAACTCCCAGCCCCAGGCTCTTCAAAGGACGGCAGAGCATGCGAAAGGAAATCAATGCTCCACATCTCTGCTTGGAAATTAAAAAACGAGATGGGCTGATAAGGCAGAGCCTCACAGGCATTGAACAAGCCCCGGTTAAGGCAGTGGTTAAGCTTTCAGAGGGGAGCTACGCACGAGGCCAGCTGCTTCCCCTCCTTGTACAATGATTGGAGCCCATGACCGTGAAGCCGGCTATCTCCTGGCTGATTCTGGGTTTGGATGTCTCTTCAAAGCTACTCTGTGGCTCTGAGACCTTCACCTCCGGTTCCACAGCTCAGCCTGTTCCTCCCAGCCTGGCTACGCTCAGCCAGCAGCACCATTCCTATTTTTCCAGCGCTTGCAGCACATAAGGGCCAGAATTTGGTACAAAACCCTGGAGAAGTTTGATTTGAGATCCTGGGGCTTGGACCTGCCTGAAATACCCCCAGGTACCAGCACAGCCATGGCCCTCGTGGCTCCGGGGCAGACAACATTGAGCAACCTCCGGGTTTATCTACTTTTGGCCGCCAGTCATCTTCAGCAGGTGGGATATGACAAATACGTGGGGCCCACCTTCTAGGAGCACAGGAAAGGTTTTGGAGAACAACGTAACCCTGTGCCATTGCCCAGGAAGCGTTTGTGCCCGATGCATCAACCGATGCTGACCCTCCCCATCTCACCACCCCACAGGCATCCCTCCCTGCCCGGGAAGGACTCAACCCTCCTTGCCTTTTGCCGTCACCGAGATGCCCATGGCTGCCTCCCTCAGCGAGTTCCTCTTCTTCCACTTGCCCTCATCTATGTTGTACATCTCCACTATCTTCAGCGGCATCTGGTTCACTCCGACCCCTCCTATCACCATGATTCTCTTGCCCAAGGTGGCCACAGCCACCCCTGCCCGGGCCGTGGGCATGGGGGGCAGCGAGGTCCACTGGTCGGCCTCAGGGGAGTAGACCTCGAAGGAGTCCATGGGGACACCGTTGTCATCGCAGCCCCCGATGGCAAACACCTGCCCGCCAGCTTCCACCAAGGTCGAGTAGACCCTGCAGCTCGGGAGCGGGGCGAGGGTTTTCCACTGGAAGTCTTTGGTATTAGCCAACTCCATGGTGGCTGGTGGGGCGAGGTGGCATCGGTCCCTGCCCGCGGGAGGGGGCTGGCTACGCTGCAAAACAGAGCAGAGAAGTGCCAGGGGAAAACCAACAAAGAAACACGAAGTGCAAACACCATCCTCCCCCTGGCAGGGCTGCGGGCAGCCAGGAGCAGAGCGGGGACCGGAGCATCCCCACCGGGCAGTCCCCCGCAGCCACCAGTCCCACAGCCGCCCCCCAAGACAGACCAGCAGCGACCCATCATACCTTTCATTGCGTTTCCATTACTCCTGCCGTTCCAGATCTGCCTCAGAAGCTTATGCAGAGACCGATCCTAAAAATAAAACAAAACAAAAGGGGGGGGGGGGAAGGCAAGAGCAAGAGAGGTTGGAGTCAGTTTGCTATCCTGTTTCCTGAGCATCCCCGCCCCCAAGCGACATTCAAACTGAGGAGGCTGCAAGCCGTCTGCTCACTTCCCCGGCTGTTTTCCTGCCTGCTGGGGAACTTTTCCTTGCGTCCTCCTTCTCTGACCCGATTACTCCTCCTGACCCCCGCGTACATCCTCCTGCAGACCCTGGGGAGGACCCGCTCCGGTGGCCCTCGGCTGGGAAAGGTGAACGCCAGCACTCGCCCCGCCAGCCCCGACCCCCGGGCTGCGCGTGGGGCTGAGGGGTCCAGAGGGCAGCCCGGGGAGGAGAGGCACAAGCTCTCGCTGGAAACCCACCGTCTCTTTCTCATCTCCTCTCTCGGAATGGCCGCTAAGCATGCCGATGAGATTAATTAGTGCAGGAGGACAGAGAGAAGGCAAACGGAAAGGAACAAAGGCAGCGGCGTGCTCACTCGCCCAGCCAGGAACGAGGTGCGTGTTGCACTGAGCACAGAATCGTCTTGGTTGGAAGGGATCTTTAAGATCATCGAGTCCAACCACCAACCCAACACTGCCAAACCCACCCCTAAACCATGTCCCTCAGCACCACGTCTGCCTGTCTACTAAATACCTCATCATCAGCATCTCCGCCTTCCTTGTGAAACTGGGGGTGTTTAACAATTGCCCTTAAAACAAAGTAAGATTTCTCTTTACCCTTGCGGATCCAGCAGCCTCTCCCAGCACGCGCTGCCTGCACGAACATTTGGAGACAGGACTGTAGGGCAGAGTGAGTGGTTGCCAAAAAAACCCCAAAGGCGGCATACTCCTGTCCGAGCACTGCTCTAGGACACCATCATTCCTTCTTCTCCACACGCACAGACTCTGGAGACTTCTCCCCATGCACGCTGAGGTCCCACCGAGCCCCTGGAAAGAGCTTTCCTGGCAGCAGAGCAGGGCTGGCCGGCTCCGCTTTCCCGGGGACCGGAGGTTGAAAGTCCCCGGAGCAGAGATTTGCTCCCAGACCCATGTCCCAGCCCAGGGCCCGTGCCTCAGCCCTTCTGCTGTTGCGGGTATTTTTCCTTCTGATCCTGCAGTGTGGGGTGGGATGCAAAGAGCCAACTCGCTCTCTCCTACCCAAGACACCTAAACACAAATAAAGCAACCAGCTGTTACGGCCCTTGGGTTTCCACAGACTCCCTTCTTCCAAAAGGGAGAACCAAACTTGTTTCCCGCTGCTTCATCTGGAGCGGAGAGTAAAGGAGGGGGCTCTGCAAAACTCCCTGACCCGGGAACGGGTCATTCCCCTTCCTCACCCCACCACAGCACCTACTGCCCAGATCCGACCACAGCTCTCCAGCTCTCCCAGCCCTCCGGCAGCCGGAGCAGACAGCCTGTAGCTTAGCAACAGCCACCTACAGCCGCCTTCCATCACCCATCACTTCAGACGGTCCGGCTGGGTATCCTGATGCTTCCCGGGGACCACTGATGCAGATGCCCCTGGAAAGGGAGAAGCCCCCGGGTGCGCGGGGCTGCACGCAGGGCAGAGGCACACAGGCTGCTGCTACCGTACCCCGGACTCTTCCCGCGTGTAGCACACCGGGGATGCCGCGTGTTTCTCCTATAAATTCGTGCCTGTTGTGGTCATCAGGTAAGCAGGGAGACGGAGGTGGCCCTCAGACCACAGCCAGGGCATCTGCTGCCATCTCAGACAGGTACAGCACAGCATCAAAGCTTATAAATCCTTCAAGGGAGGGTGCCGGGGGGATGGGAACAGTCTGTTCCCAGCGGTGCCCAGTGACAGGACAAGAGGGAACGGGCACAAAGGTGACCAGAGGCAGTTCCATCTCCACCTGAGGAGGGCCTTCTCTGCTGTGAGGGCGGCAGAGCAGTGGCACAGGCTGCCCAGAGAGGTGGGGGAGTCTCCCCCTCTGGAGCCATCCCAAACCCGCCTGGACGCCGTCCTGTGCCACTGCTGGAGGTGCCCCTGCTCTGGCGGGGGGTGGCACTGGGGGAGCTCCAGAAGGCCCTTCCAGCCCCCACCAGTCTGGGATCCCCACAAACTCCTCATCTCTGCCTCGGGGCTCAGCCTGCAGGGCCCATCTGAAGGGGACATCAGTTTCCACGGTCATGTTCGTTCCTACATCTCCTCTGAAAGTATAAATTAGGGGAGGGTGATGGAAAAGCATCAGTGAAACAGGTCTCAGGCAACTGAGCTGAGATCCCTCAAAATCACTTCACATACAAGTCTGAGCTGGTGCGAAAACCAGTCAATCCAAGCAGGGCTGTTTATTTTAACTTGCTCTCCCAAATAAATTTCAGCAGTCAGCTAAACATCATTTAGTGCATAAAGAACGTGGTTGATACACCCGTAAATACTCCTTGGGCCATAACCCTCCAGCAGCAGGACCCAGTGCCGGCACATGCGCACATCCCCGGCACCGTGGGGGCCGCAGCACAAAGGAACACGAAGCAACAATAAAAAGCAGCAGCAAGTCCAGTCACACTTTGCATCCTCCCAGCGGCCGAGGAGAAAGGGGCCAACAACAGATGGGATCACCCGCTGCTGTTTCCCCTCTCCCTTCCATCCCGCGTCGCCTGATGCGCATCACCACCCACAACTGGAGCAGCTCAGGGATTTTCGCCTCGGCAGTTTAAGCAGCTCTGCACTATTGCTTTCATGAATAATTTATTTTCTTTCCAGGTGAATTTCATGCATCACCATGGACAAATTCAGCATGGGCAGGCAAACTGGAAAAGCAGAGCCAGCTCCTATTTCCAGGAGCATGACAGATTTGCATCCTGACCTCCAAAAAGTCATTTTCCTGCCCTGCACCTCAATTTCTTCAACTCTAAAGTGCGGTCCTGGAATAAGACACAATCAGCATCACTCAAATGTCTGACAGAAGCATAACCTCACGCCCTGGTGCCAGACAGTTTCTCTGCTGTCATCAAGGCTATCCAAACCTCGAGCATAATTGTCTAAAATTGCCTAAAAATTCTTTTTCAACATACCAGCACGCAGAGTGTGATTCAAAGCACTTGGAGGCGGCTGGGTGTTTCCGTGGAGTGCTGGGCAGGTCCTTCATGAGAACAGGCAGAGCAAACACCCCCAAATTCAGCCCAGCCGCCGTCCCAGACAGTGGGAACCTGCAAATCCAGAGCCACCACCCTCAGCAGCAGTAACGCAAAGCTCTGCCGGAATTCAGCTGCCTTGGCATACAAATAATTTGCTGTTGTTCTCTTTCATGCTCTTTAAAGAAAACCAAGGTCAGTCGGAAGCGCTGTACTCACACCCTTTGTCTCCGTCTCTCCGGCATCACCTGAACCTCGCTGGAAGGCAGTGCCGGCGCTGCGCCGTAGGAGCCAGGAGCTGTCAAAATGTGCTGACCAAACAGCCCCCTCCGTGCGCTGCAGCCATGTTCTCCTCCCAGGCAAAGAGAATTATCACTTAATTATACCAAACAAATTGGAAGCATTAACATTTTTTTTTTTCCCTTAAATGGCTACATTAAAGTCCAAATGAATGGTAATTGCTTTTCTATCGGAGGAGACGGCGGGCACGGTGCCGAACCCGCTCCGGGGCCCAGCCCTTACTCCCCCCAGGACAGAACCCCGGCTTTAAGAGCTCAGGGAGCAGCACAGCACCCACATACACCCTCCCCGGGGTCTTTGCCAAGTGGCTACGGAGCACGGCTAAGCAGGGAGACCCCCACAGCCCCCACCGAGAGGGGGACAGGGCGCCGGTGGGAGAGGGGGACCTCTCGGCGCGCGGGGCTGAGCTCCCGGTGCTGTAACACCCAGATGCTCCCTCCGAGGAGAGACCGTTCCTCACGCCGCAGGCGACATCAGGCTCATTTTAGAGACACACACACACCGGTTTAGTGGCATTTATTACCTGCAGTGATTTGTGATTTATAAAAGAGACACGCTGGTGGGTATTAAAATGATAGACGAGCTGAACAGGGGAGAGAGATTTTGGTGCTGCTGAGTGCGGCTGCTTTCCCTCTCCTTCCTACCTCACCTCTCTCCAGGATTTAGACGTTTTGCTGTTCTGGATTTGGAATGCCCTCAACTGCAGAGGGCCAACAGACGGCCCAGCTGGAGCCGAAATCTCCACCCTCCAGCCATCAGGGTGTTCTTTAGGCTGATGCACTTACCCGAAATATTGCATTGCAACACTCCTGCACGAGCACAGAGTGAAAAGGGGTCCTACTTACACCTCTCCAAATTGAAGGAAGTGCAAAAAGGCCCCAGAAGATGAAATGCCTTGGAGATACTCCCAAATCTTCTTTTTTTTAATGCTCATACTGAGGATATCGCTGTACACACCCCCAGCCACACTGGCACATTCACACACGCTCCTTCCAGGGAGGAACTCGGGGCTAGAAATGGAAAGAGAGCCCTAATCCTCACTCGGCCCGAGGCAGATACAAGTCACTATGAACGAATGCTGTACTATATTTGTCTAACTTGCTCCAAAAAGCCTCCAGCACTTCTGCAGCCCCAGCAGCAGATCACTGCTGTGCCTCACAGAGCATCATCCGCTCAAACCCTCACCCCAGGAACAGCATTCGCTTCAGGGACACCGCAAAGACCCGGGAGACAACCACGCTTCTTCCTGGCATCCCATCACAAGTTCCCCTGAGTCGT